TTTCTTTTGGTGTCCCTATTACATACGAATGCATTGTGAATTGCCTAAACAAGCTTATCGTAACGAGGTTGAGCCCTTTCCAACATAATCTTTCCATTGCCTTCTGCAGAAAATATCACAGTGGCTCAACTTGATCTGTATATAAGCCAGGACATGTAACTCCGTAGTCAGAATTACTTTGTGGAACCGCTTTCATCATCTATCTACTTGCCTTGACCACTCCCTTCGCACGCCCACGGCGAAACCAGGCTCCCACCAGCAATTCTCCCAGCGGATTCCTGAGTGGAGGGTCAGAAGAGAGCCACCCGCTCGGATGTTTTTTGGAGATGGAATCCTCCAGAGTGAGAGAATTCTTTTCTTCTTTTATTCTTGCAGAAGGTCCTTTGCTTTCATACCAATAAAAGAAATTACGATGTACTTCATGCATCACCAAATATAAATAATTTTTGCCAAATCAACTTTCAAAACGTCCATCAACCCAAGTAAAAAGGTGAAAGGAGGTCAGAAACATTTGGAACGCCTCTCTCACAAGCAGCAGACCAAACAAGGAGAAGTTTCTTTACCTTAAACCAATTGTTGCAAGGGCTGGCCAGGGTGCGTCAGGCGGATGGAAGTGGTTAAAACTACTGAATCAAACTTTGGAAATGAAATGATATATGGATTGTTCAAAGAAAAATGATTCCAAAAGGTATTTTTTTAATGAATCGATTAATATTTCAAGGAGAGATGGGTAACACACACGGACATGAATTGTGCGGCAGCACCTACTCCCTTTCCTCAACCCCTTCCCGCATTACGATTTCTCCTCACCACTCTAAGGCGCTTCTGCATGCTTCTTACCCTCTGGGCTCTACATCACTCTGGCGCACTTGTAGCTTCAACTCCCCAGGCTTGCGAGGATGACGTTCTTAGAAGGCGTCCTTGGCGAGCGTGAGTTTCATCCCGGTTTATTTTTCTCCGAACGAAATTGATTGCACTTCCAGTGCATCATCCATATGTGTTGCGTCGCATCTTCGAGCGACTTCAAGAATACCTGCAACAAGACAGAATTCAAACGAATACCATTAATTATTCCTCCTGAATCATTGCTTCTCGGGATGAGACCAGTAATCCAATTCTAGAAACCTTTTTCCAGACAGCCATGTATTGATACGAGGGTGATTCAAATGAAAATGGAACATTGAGGATTGAAAGGTACGATGCCAAGGAAACCGTATTGGTCGTGTTCGGTAGTACTCGGTCGAGTGGCAGCTTCATTCAAACTTGCAATTCGGATGGTGCTGCCACCTGTGTTAATTGCACGGACTTAAAAGATGACCACTGCAGGTAGGAGGCACTAAGGGAGAGATGCATTCGGTGATCCGGTTCTTGGTCGCAGAGGGCGGAAACGGTAACGAAACTCTTTACAGACTGAAAACAGTATATATAGAGGAAACAGTGTTGCCAGGAATAATGTGTTTGAGTGGGTGCGTATTTTCCAAAGTGGGACGAGTGTCGCCAGTCCACCGCATCTGGGCCAACCACTTTCATGATGCCAGGCGCATTCGGGATCGTGGAGTACCTGGTCTGGCAAAATCGGCACCTTAACGTAGACGTGATTGCCAACCAGATGGACTTCGGCCACGATTCCGCGCACCACATCGTGCATGAAGTGTTGGGTTTCGAGAGAGTGAGGTCGCGGTGGGTCCCACGACAGTAGGCCGATGCGACAAAGAACCAGCGACTGCCGGAAGCGGAATCGTCGATTTCCCGTTTCGACCCCGAAGGGGATGGCTTCCTCGATCCGATCCCGACTGGAGACGAAACGCAGGTCAACGACCGCACACCGGAGAGCAAACGAGCTAGCGTGAGTTGGCGGCACTCGAGAGAGGCGGTGCAATCGTGGCTCCAGGAGCAGCCGGCAGCGTTCTTCCCTGCAGGCATGAGGGCTTTGACGGGAAGGTGGCTGAAAGGCATCGCCGAGCAGGGGAACTATGTAGAGAAATGGTGGATTAATCGCGACCATCCGATCACCGATTTCCTTCATCGAAGGAAATGACCTTTAATAATGATCCGAAACATTCGTTTTCGTTGAAATCCCCGCAGTAGAATAGGAAGTTTTAGATTCCAGGAAATGAAATCGATATCCAGCCTTAAATGTACTGTGCAGGGTGAATTTTTTTTTTCAGGAGGTGGTCGATTTCATTGATCGCAACGGTTTCCTGGTAAACATTCGGGAAGCACTGATGATACAGTCGTTTTTTCGTAGCCTAACAGGAAAATCGTCTTTGTTCACACCAGCTAGTTACGCACAAACCTTTGTGAAGACGTGAAACGGTTCCCCCTTTTTTGCAACGCATAATACTCTCACTGAGGAGGGATTTTCCTCTTTCTTTCATGAGATTCATTTTGAACTTGTCATAGAGCTTCCTTAACCCAGACGTGTCTTGTTTAATTATTCTGCTTTCTTTATTTTCCTTCCAAATTTACCTGAAAGTTGTTATGCGCACAATATGCACAATATGCGCACGCTTGATTTTATCGAATGGAATTTTCCAGTACACGTATTATTCTGACTGCAAAAAGAATGATTTTAATGTGCACAAGCTTTCATAAACCAAGTTCAAAGTTAAAATGTTTTCCAAAAATGGAGGAATGATGCATATTACTTGCGGTTCCTGGAGTTTTTGATTGAATGGAAATGTGTCGGTTTCTAATAATAATATTAATAATAATAATAACATTAATATATAATAGGACCTGAATGAAATGACGTTGGAGACATGGGAGAATTAGGGAGAGGGTGACAAACTGAGTGAGATCACATAAAATTAATTTCGATTTTTTCTTTTTAGTTTTGGATAAGTAAGGTGAAAATCATTTTAAAGTACCAAAAATTATTGCAGCAAAAGCAAATAATTGCCAGGTGTCAAGCACAAAGGAGGGACGACGATGACCGTTCCTCGCGTCCTAGGCGTCGGACACTTCACGACAAATTGTCTCCAGATGCAAGGTGTCATCAAATCATCAGGAGAAAGATATACTCGACGAAAACGCGGAACGGCGAGAACACGCGAACGAAGAAAACGAATAAAAAGGAGAAAAAAATTAATGACATGGTGGAAACGGAATTTGAACATTAAATAATGAAAGCACATTCGATACCTGAAAAGGCTTAAAATTAGCTAAGTTAATTTCGGGATTCAGCTCAAATATCACTGCGCGGCTCGTGTGCAAGACGTTACCTTGACAATAAAGGTAAACTTACTAAAGCGAGTTGCTGCATGTAACTGGCGCGACCTTCGCGTTTCACCGCCTGTCTTTGTGCCTTTCCCGCCTCGCTATCAGCTCGTTTGCTCATCGTATCTTTCTGCGTCACCCTCGCGGGAGAGAGGGATGGAGAAGTAGAGAGACGCCATCACGAGCAGGGGTTTGGTGGGGGGGGGGGTTCTCTGGAAAAAAATTATTTCGTATCTTCATCTCGCCTCTGTTGCAGAAACTCGTCCTTCGCGGTGATTCCTGCGACGAAGCGTGGAGCATTCCCCCTCCCTTTACGAATAAAATGTAGCCGAGCCGAAACGAAAGAAATGGAAGTCACTCCGACCTCTGATTCCGTTCTCAAAAGAATCTCGCGATGGATCTGCTGGAGTGCTTCCCCATCCGTTAAGTGAAAATCCGTATTCGCAAGTGGAAAGAGATCGAAAACCGCATGCGCCTGAATGCCTCCCCCTCTTCAGGCTAAATAAATAAATAAATATAGCATTCGCATATGGCAAATTCGGCGTACAGGAAAAGTGACTGGATACGCGAATAATCGCCGGAAGGATGAGGCGTAATACATTTTCAGGTGCGGGATCGGGTCATAACGAAGCTCAGTTAAGTAGCGACGGAACGATCGATGAGTTTTCTATTAGCGTTCGGTTTAAGGCTCTGCGAACGAATGAACGTCTTTGGGATCGTTCTGTTGACTATTTAAATGTCCGAAATTTAAAGCGTTCAAAAAGCTGTTTAAATTGTGCTTTCTCTGAGCGCTCATTAAGAACGTGAATTTAATGTTCCTAAGTAGTCGAAAAATGTTTAAATAACTTCCTCTTTAAGGATTCTTCCAACAAGCATTGAACATCGTTGGAACGATCATTTAAATCGCATTAAGTCCTTTATAAACATGATATCCTTGACAGGACGTCGAAAGAAGTGAGCCCGCTCATGCATAATAGTTAATTTCACCGAGAGGAGGACCCCGCAGAGAACCCAGTATGGAGTGCACTCATGACGCTGAATATTTTCTTGCAGGAAAATGAAAGATTCCTTCGATCCGCTGAATGGAATTCCGGGGAACTCGAAGTTTCCAGAAGAAAAGGCGGTTCGGGAGTGGATGAATTCGTCTGGGCGCGATAGGATGGGAACTTCTCAGGCGGCATCGCGGATGCACGCGAGTCTCGTTTTTGCCGACTGGAGCAGACGATGCCACATTGGCTGCGATGACGTCACAATGTGACGTCTTCAAGTAGCTGACCACGTGGGTTGCATTCCCGCGTGTTTGCGAGGGACTGGTCCGACCTAACTTTAGTGAATGAGCCGATCATACGAACTGGTTCGTGCCAGAAAGCTCTTTGACAGGCATTTCACGGAAGTGTCCGATCTTCCTCGGCTCTTTGAGTAGGTATTAGAATAGGCCCACGTGTTTCTCATGACAGTGCAGTGCGTACGTCATACTTCGTAAATGAGTCTAACGCTAAATTTGTGACAGGCCTGAAGGTCTGTTGGCCGTATCATGGCCTAGTCCTGGGTTAGTGGCTGATTTTCCTCGCTCCTTATACTACTGCATATCTTTCGTGGTTTAGACACCATTACTGAGCAGTTAGGTAATTCCAGTCTCAAAAGGAATGCAGTTTCAATTGTTACCACTGCCTTAAAAAAAATTAGTTTTCCTCCTTTTATGGGCTCTTGTATGTGTCATGATGGCAATTACCTTTGGACACTGAAAAAAGGGAAAGAAAGACAAATGCAAACTGGCATGGATGAGTTAAATGGTATTACCATATGCTATTTTATACCTATTTTGTCAGCTTCAAACTTGAGAGTTTGAAGTTGACATGAATGAATAACATAGTCAACATGCTGTCATGACTGAGTGTTTAACTTTGCCAGAAACATGTGAAACTGGGTTGCTGGTTGCATGACGGTTTCTCTCTTTTAATACTCATGTCATGTTTGCTAGTTAAGGTTATTTTGTGAGCCAGTTTTTTATTATTATTTTAAATTCAATCTCATTCCAAAGTCCTCCAAGTTTGAGATGAAAAGTATTTTTAGCCATTAATCTTTTAGAACTGGAAACAACATAAATAATGTTGAAAGTAGCTGGGAATTTGCCCAATTTATAGCCTATATCATTTCTGGATCAGATTTTCATTTCATCCCTTTCAAGGCTCTTTGAAGCCTATAAGCCTAAGCCATCAATGTTCCAGGCATTGAGTGAGATTTTGGAATCTCCAGATTCATTTCTTGAACTTGATGGCATTCCCTGGTTTAATGCATCACATCGATTGCCTGCGACTATACCACCGGTACCTTACCTTCATGACCTAGGTGGTGCATTCCAGTGAGGACTGAACTAATGCAAAATTCATATTCATAAATGGAAAGAATGTGGTGCCTGGCCATGTCTGTATGGCTACAGAGCATTTCGAGTGAAATTTTTTCCCTTGAGACAGCACACAAGCACCAGGAACATCCCTCGCAAAAGTGTCTGGGTCAAGTGGAAAATTGCGACTCTGGTGGAGAACTATGAATGATCACTATTTATCCACACATCTGGAAGTGTGTTGGTCTCCCACTTTTACTTTAATACTGATTCACATAATGTTCAATCATATGTACAGTACTTCTATTTTGCTTTGATAACCATATGTGAAAGAGCCTACAATTGCTTTCCTACATGATGTTCAAATGCTGCAGAAGTCCCTGGAATGGTATCAGCATTGGAAAATAGAGGAGGAGGAATGAAAGATAGTGGTTTTCATTTTGTGACTAGAATGGCTATCTCTATTGTGTGTTCTAACTCGCTTTGATCTGTTTTATTGTTGAGCAGCCTATTATATAATGAAAGAAAGTAAATCTATTCCTCTCCTTAAGGCAATGAAACTGCTATTGATTGGAGAAATGCCATTTGGAGTGATCCTCATCAGTCATTTGCTGTCACACCTTCCACAGGGAGACCTGGCAAGATAATCAAGATGGGTGAGAGCTGCTTTAGGTGAGTAGGACCCAATCAATGTGTCTTACTTGTATCAATGATGAAAACCCAAAATGAAGCCTGTCTTATTCCCTTCTACATGGCAGTTGGAGGAACGGCAACAGAGAACGGATGTTGGTAGAATCCAAAACTATTTCTTTCTCCATAGTGGCCAGAGGAAAGACAACATCAATAAGGCAGGTAATCACGTAGTTAAAAAATCCTCCACCTCATAGAAATTATTGGAATGACATTGTAGGAATGTGGTTGTTCAAGATGGTGTGATGCCTTGATCCAAAGCACAATTGATCTTGCCACTTGAAAGAAATACTAATATTCATGATCATCAGGTACCACATCTCCAGAAGCACCATTTCTTTAAATAAGTGCCTGTACAGACTCTGGGCAAGAATGACTATTCCCATAAATGATCCACTCCCTGAACCTAGTTCAACCGACAATGGGGAAGAGGTTCATTGCACTCTTTCTCTTATGCTGCCAAGTCATGACTTACACTTCTTATTGAATAAAAAAAGCTCCCAGACTTTCAAAAAGTATCATAACATGACTACTATATGAATTGCTTTTAACATTCAAGCATTACATGAAGAAATCAGTGCCATCTTAAAAGGCAATTATCAACATCTGGAAGAAGTATAATTCTTTGCTCCATTCATGAAATTTTATTTCATTAGTATGTAGGATCAGTGCCTGCAGGTACTACAGGATAATTCTTTCATGAGGTCCAAGCATGGTATTTGGTGATGAAGAAATTACCACTAACCCCTGTGAAGTGAGCAGGACACATGGAGTCTGATTTCATGTTCTCTACAGGGGGATGAAAAGTTGCCAGACGTTAAAATATTTCAATATAACGTGCAATGCATATTTCCCATTTTATTCCAATCCCACATTTTCCACATGGCCACCCTTAGCTTGCATGAACTTCTTCTGTTGCTTCAATAGTTTCTTAAATCTAGGATAATTCTTCAAGGGTAACTTTTCCCTACATACCTATATATACCATCAATTCCTTAGCCGGTATTTCACATCCATGAAGCTATGGTTAATTTATGGGTAAAGATGTCTGATGGCATAATGTTTTAACTATTAGTTGATGAAGTAGAAGTCTCAGCCAATGTCAATGTTTGCTCTGGTGGAGGCATGGGCAGTTTGATGGTGAGATTGCATTGTCGTCACCCCACACCCTTAGAGATGTGGTTACTTTGTCATTCATCAAAAGGTGGCTCATTTGATCCTGCTGTTCAACATTGGTCACAATTGCATTTCCTATTGACTGCCCATGTATCAATTTTATCACTTATGCTGTTGTACAACACACCAGCTCATCATATGATCTACTTGCTGCTACTGCTGCTGCTGCTATGGCAGCAAAAATGTTGAGCCAGGTTTAAAGATGAGGTCCTGTGTGCTTCTAAAATTAAGAAGCCAGCAGAGCAGCAGAAAAGTATGCATTAATTAAGGGTGGTTTGCTGTAATGGTGAAAGTTGAATAACATTGAAAGGTTTAGATATATGATTTTTTTGAAATTCCAGCTTTCAACCTTGCCCTAGCCCCCTTGTGGAAGATGTGAGATCAGACTTGAGATACTCTCCATCAGTCCTATAGAGTGAAATTGACAATACCCTCTATCACAAGACACCATTCCTGGACTTCGTGGAAGAAGTACGCCATCGGAACTGGCAGGGACTCCTTACCTATTTGTGTAATCAATTATCATGTATAAGTGTAGCAGGGTGGGGAATGCATGAATAGGTGTGGGAGATGTAACTGGGAGACAAACCAGTTGGCTGACTTCCTGCTGTGAACTGACTTCAACTACAGATGACAATGAAGTTCTCCTATGGGGATTCCCCATGACAAGTGCAATTTGGGCACTCTGATGAAAGGAAAAGAAAATTCACCAATGTCAAATGAGAGAATAAATTATAGGCCTTTCCTTGCCCTGGCAATTATGTTAACTGGGCATTTGCTCCATTTGCTCTTGTGTTTGGTAGTTCATTTTGAATTGCAGATTGAAGTCTAGCTATTATTAATGCTGTCTCTTACTTGGTTTACATATAATAATCCACACACTTCCAGTAAATAGCTATAGTCGATTGCATCGTGGACACAGCTGACCATCGTGTTTTCTCTAGCCATATATTTGAGCTCTGGAGCTGGTCCAAATGTTGTGCAAAGCTTGATGTGCACTGAAGAAGATTGGACATGTAGGGCTTCCATAATATGAATGAATAAATCAATTTGAACCACATAGGCCAAACATTCCTGGTGCAGACCTGGAGTTCTGTCAATCATCCAGAGGACATTTGTGGAGGTAATTGACCCATGCAGAGCCATTGGACCCTGCACATAAAACTCAGGATCTTGTTTTACCTTTTTGCCCCAGCTCAACTGTTAGTAAGGCTCAACTTGCATCATTCCCCATCCAAGGGCAAGAAGCCAATCCCCCTGGTAATGTTATTGGCCTTAGTTTTTCTATTCTCAGACATTTGCATATGCCTCAAAATTCCCAGTGTTTTATGTTGAATTCTATTATATAAGTACATGATCTTTAGGGACTGCTCAATATTTGAGGCATCAGGCCATACCTCATTGAAAAGCCTTTCTTTGTAGCAATTGAAAGGTGACAAATCTTTTTTTTTTTTACTTTTTGACCTTTCTATTTAGGACTTGCTGGACCAAATATTGTATTTGCTCTTTCTTTTGTACCATATTGCTTAAGAAAGCATAAAATCTCTTGTAAGGTGCTCCTGAGACAGTTTTGCATCAGTAATGCTTTTTCACTTCTGTCAATCTTGCTTTCAATCACTTTTGGCCTGAAATACACTTTCAGAAAAATTAAAGACATTTCAAATTGGTACTGTTACAACTCTTCTGGCATAACATTCATTTCAGAAAGTGTAAAGAAACAAAGTCTTTGACCTATTCACTGGTAGTAGATTTGGTGGCTAAGAAGGCCCTAATATGTTTTTCCCATACATTAAGTACAAGCCCATGTAATCATTGTTTATATGTTATTGAACCTCATTTGCATGAGCTTATATCCCATGGATGAGTTGTCTTGCATGACCAAATTCCTAGTGTCTGTTTCCATCTTACCTTGAAAGTGTGTATTCTACTGCATTAAAATGTTCTTTGAGACCTATTCCTCAGAAGTGTGAAAATATTTCATGGAAAGTATATTTTGAAGTTTAGTTTTGCGAACTAAAAATTTTGTCATGAGAAGAGACAGAAACTTTTCTTTTGATTCAGATTCCTGTTGGGATGTTCCTCACATGTGAGTGTTTGGGTCAAGTGAACAATTTTGTAACTGAAGTGAAAAACATAGGAGGATCAGTTCAGCAATCCAGGCTGTTGAAGCACATGGCTTCTTCAATGAATATTTAAAGAAATACTTTCTTGAAATTCAAGAACCTCAACAATCAGGCTACATTGACCAGTTAAATTGCAATATGACATAAACAACAATGTTATGAAGCTTATTTTGGAGCTCTAAAGCATTTACTTTTTTAAATACAGATTTTCATGCCATACAATATTTAAACTGACATTCTGCATTTCCTTCACAGATTGCACTACTGCCCCCTCAATGCTTCGCTGCTGTTGGAAATACATACTCTTTGTACAAGAAGTGGGAGGGAGATGGAGCTTAAAGGATGGCATATCCATTGCTGGGGGGTTTTTTGGTCCTATGCCTGTGTAGGTCTGTTTTCCTTCCTCCTTCTCTGTCATTTTGCTTGAAAATTTTTACTTCATGCAAAGGATGCAAAATGTATTCTGGGATGCCATTTCTTATTACACATTGTACAAGTGTGTGGCATTTATAACCTCAATTAATCAACAGTCCCGTGGTGCTGCACACATTTATACCAGCCTGATAGGAGCTGTAGTAAGCCAGCTGCATGGAATTTTACTTGCCTTGGCATACATGAACTGTGGAATATTCTCATGCACTTCATGATCAGTACTGAACTTCACCCTCAGAAATCCCCTAAGTGATCTGAATGTCAAAATCACTTGGTGGGAGATTGGAATGGATTAGCAGCTCCCATCTCATTTCACCACTGATGTACTGCATTTTCTGCACTATATGGGAACACACATTGTGCAACTTAAGAATTATATAAAACAACAGATTTTGATCAAAACAATTTTATTAGTCAATGTACTCTTTATTAAGCTCCATACACCTTTGCCATCTCTTTGGAAGCATTTCACTATTCTCACAATCACTTCTTGTGATACTTTTCTATTCTCAAGAACCAATCCATGAATCTCATCAACTTTCTTCTTTTTCTTTCTACTGGTCTTCCACTTCTTTCCTCATTTTCATCACTTTCTCTTCCCAAATGATATTACAGAGACCAGCTTTAAACTTTCATAACCTGATATGTCATCACCAGGAACACTCTGCATCTCTGATTGGATTTGTGTCAGAGACTTGATCACAGATCTATGTTCAAGGACACCATTATTCATTTCACTGAATCAAGAAACACAAGAAACACATCAAGCACACAAAATATTCAACTAAGCTGACTTCCCTTCAAGGTTTTCAAGTGTCCTTTATGTTAATAACCCAGTTTCGAGTGGCTCCTCCCCCTCCTTCATAGGCAGGGTAAAGACTTATTGACTGACACAATACCTTTGCTGAGCGAACCAGATCTTTTCTTGCCAATTTTTTTTCTGCCTTTCTATGTCCTTCTGTAATATTGAGTAGTATTCTAGCTTACATAGCCAGTCCATTCAGCATGAAAGGCACCAACCTTGTCCAAAAGACACATGCCATGACTTTGCTGAAAATTGGTTGGGTCATGAACTACTTGAGCTTTGGGAGAACCTGTTTGCTTTTATTGCTGTAATCCCTTCTTGATTTCTGGTGTGTCAGGTTTCATATTATGTCTCCATTCTCTGTAAAGTATTCCACTGTCCCATTGTTGAAGCCCATTAATATAACAATTTCATATTTAGTGACATGTTTGTTGCAAGAATGCAGTTCTCAACATTCAAAATGGTTTCATCAGTCGGTGCAGTTCGATCCTTGTCACATCTTGGGTTGCATCGGACATACATCCGCCCTTCCCAGAACCATGCACAATGTTCAAGCACATGTAGCTGGGACAGAGATTCATCTCCAAACACTGTTAAGAGTCATTTGCTAACATTTGAATTTACAATGAATGACAGGAATTGAATTGACAGAGGCTGGTGGAACCATATGCTATGAGGAATTTTATACCATGCTGCTGTTCCTGTAAAAGGTCTGCCTTACTGTATGCCATCTTGAATGACAGCTGATGCAAGGCAGTACAAGAGATGTCAATGTTGTTGGCACCCAATAATGATAAATGTAGGAATAGGAAGTTTTTATTATCTTACTGTTCTCGCATTAATGAAAATAGCTTCATGGTGGGCCCAGGACTCCAATTGATGGAATCACATGAAACCATTGATTCCTTTTGAATATCTATTCTGTGCTGTTGTTTGGTCAGGTTTATGCATGGTGGTGCAGTCCTTCAGGAGTTAAACACAAATAAAAGCATTCTTTTAGGTGACCATTACTTATGAGAACACCTCCACAATGTACTCACACAAACAACATCTATCCATGGGGATGGTCTCACAATCTAGTAGGCTTGATGTAAGCACACCCCTGTGTTCTGCCCTCAGAGAAGGATGTTTCTGGCTGAAGAGCCAGTATGCACTGAATGCATTATACTTGCTGTTAAAGTCTTGGTTTGTGTTGCTGAAATTTCAATTACTTACACCAAGGGTACTCATTTTTACAGGATCTAGGTGTACCAGTGCAAGATGAGTATTTGGAGTTATGTACTTCCTGCTTATATGCTATTATATTCTGCTAGCTTAACAAAAGAGTCTACTCTTTTGTCTTCAACTCTTCAACCTCTCTTGTACAAGGTTTAAAAGGCCATGGCAAGTTGTGTGAAATCACTGGATAATCTCGGCAACCTGGATTTCTATGTAATTAAGGAATCTCCAGCCTCCACCTGCTTGTGCAACAATACTTTTTGCCAGAATTGTTTTCAAAAGGCTGGCTATTTTAATATAAGCTATTTTTGAATTAATTGGCTGGGTAAAAGGATTTGTGCAGCATCCTATTCAAACCATAAATTGTAACTTAGTAACTGCACTTCAATGAACTGACATTAGTAATGATTTTCTGCCACCTAACATCTTTCTCTGGTGTATAGAAAGATCCTGTGAAGAGCCAAACAGCAATTGTAATATTTTTTGCATCAATGGGAGTTTGTGGGGACAAGTTGTTCCTCTTCCAATAGTGTCTTCTTTCTTCCACTGGTCTGGACCTACATGGTCATGTTCATCATTCCTTGCCTTGTGGAAGTGTTGATAAACTTTTGTCTCTGCTTTTACTTCTCTCCAGCCTATGACTGAATATTATATGTTTCCTTCATGAAAATTGAGGATGGGACCAATATGGTTTCAATTACATGACACAAGCCAAAATTTGCTAATATCCACCATATTGGAAGTGAGCATCTTGTGCCAAACTGATCACCTGTATTAAAGAAATGCTTTGTCTGAGCAATGAATTTACTGAATGGCAGATGTGTGCACAAGATCATGCCTAAAGGCCATGTGCTCTGAGTTCCCTTCCTTCATCCTTGCAGCATCACCCAAGGAAGCACATGTCCAGATGCATAACTCAAATTTGGAGCCAGAGTAGGAGTCAGTGTTTCTCTGTCCATGGGACATTGCTTCATCGATTCTTTCTTGCACGAGGGTTACCTTATTTCATTGCAATATAACTGTCCTTTATCTTTTACACCAAAAGGGCTTTTTACTTTTAGGCCTGGTAGTTCCAGAAAATGCAAGAAATTCCAGGTCATAAAGGATAAAGATAGGCAATCCTGCACAAGATTGCTCATCTTCATTCTTCAGAACTTATTTCAATTTGTTGTGCTTCCAATTGATCTTGAGAAGTGGCTATTATCAGTGCAGGATGAGAGTGCAAGATGACATCTGAAGTTTTATTCTATTGAAGCCCCTATGACAACATATGACACCATTCATTTCAATGCATTAGTGTAAGAAGGCATATGATAATGTTCAGTTGAATGGAAGCCCTAAAAGTCCTTATGTAGGATGGGTAATCATGCCTATTAGGCTTTGGTAATCCTTAGCTATGCTTACAGTGACTATTGGGCATTCAGTTTATTGTTGAAAGTGATGTCAATATTTTCCATAATTTCTCCGTTGTAAAGTTGTTGAAATGAGTTGAGGTGTGAAATTCAAGAATCTTTCTATATTGTGACTAAATTTTTTTTCTCTAAAACAATTTTTTTTCCCCTTTTCCTTGGCCTGATTTCAGATCATGCAAAGTGCCTGCAATGCTGTGTTTAATCTGGCAATGTAGTCATAAAATTAAAGGAAAGAGGCATTAATGAGTACAGGGTTCGAGAAATTTATGCACCCATTATCTTAATGGGTGCAAATATCTTAATGCTTAATCTTCACCTGCAGAGATATGACTGACCACAGTATTATAGTTAAGGCTAGCCTCTTTGAATAGCTCATTCAGTTGTGCATATTTTCTATGTTTTAGACTTTTCTGTTTTTGCAATATAGCATAGTCTAAATTGGATGATGAGGTGCACCACACTTATGCATAGGTTTTGAACAATGTTACGTCACCCCACATCATGGACCTCTCAAGAAAAGCATAATTTAGATGCAGGAAATGTGAGCCAGTCAATGAATGATTCATTTCATAACCACCCATATTGCAAAATCAATCAATTCTGAAACATGGAGAAGAAGTGCAACTAAATTGGAATAGTGCAATCTTGTGGATTGCCACATCTCTGCTGGCCAGAAGAGTGCATCCATTATTGCTGTTGTATGTTTCAGCAGCAACAACCAACACCTTGATTCCACAGATTTGTAATGAAATAAGAGTGAGACATATGTACAAGTTTGTACAATGTACAAGCTAGTGGAAGGGTGTGCAGATTAGTGTGAAAGTGTGTGACCCTGCATGGAGTGAGAAAAGTATATAAAACTGCATGAAATTAATGAATTTAGTGTGAACTTGAGTAGACTTGTGTGACAGGATAGGGATTTATGTTTTTTTATTTTTTGTCTCTGCTGTTCACAGGAAATTCCTTTGCACTGCAGAACTGCCTCCAACTTTTGCATTGTTTCCAACTTTCTCCCTTGTGTATATTGCCTGATGTTTGTTTCACATGCATTTGAAAGACTTACTGTTCAAAGAAAACTTTGTAAATTAGCTAGAGGAGCCATGTCAAAGATCCCTGAAATTTTCTCCTTTTATAGTCACTTTTTATTTTGATAAAGTTCATTTTTAAGTGGCATTTTAATTTCATTTCTGAGTATTGCCTGTGGATGGTGGCTGGTAATAGCAAAAGAGCAGAGGGATGCTGTTATATATATAGTCACAATTATAGGAGGCACACGAGTTGGATCTCTTTGTTAGACCAGGGTATTTTGAGAGTGTGTTGCCATGTAACAGTAGTCACAACCTTGGAGCATACTTTTCCAGTTCATGAAGTTCCTCATGGGCCTTATACCCTTGGTGGCGGTGGATATCCCATCCAGGGACCTGGAGGGTCTCATCTGGCAGACTGAGAAGACCCAGAAGGCATAGGCTCCAGAGGAAGACTGCTCTTAGGTGTTGCACAACATGAGTGATCTTGAGTCTCGAATCTCCAGGATCTCAAGAATGAAACTGCTGTCTTGCAGTTCCGTGATGGATAACATCATTTGAAGACTCCCATATGCATCTTCCATCCCTAGTGAAGAATGATGTCTCACAGAAGTAGCCCTCAAGGATCATGCCTTGGGTGAGGTTTGTTTTTTCAATCTTGGTAATTTTTTTACTGGAGTGTTCTTGCTTCATACTGCTTCATTTATGTAGGATCTCATCCCAATATGTATGTTCATGTATGTAGGATCTCACCCCAATAATAATAGTTATTACATAGGTAATAGACAAAATTGACAAAATGGAGTATCCAAGGGAGGCAGTCTCACTGGGAAAGTGTGATTGGCATAGGGTTGTGTAGTGTCCACATGAATTATGCAGAGCATGCTTGGCCTTTTTTTTTAAGGTGTTGAAGTAAGTGCTTTAATTGGTCTCTCCATGTGGTAGATAATCTGAGTGCATATCCATGTTCACCCTAGAATAAGGATGTCATGATCTTTTTCTCCTTATGGCTGGGCAGGAAACTTCTGTAGAGGGCTCCATGTATGTATCAACTGCTTGTTGCTCTGCTCTGATTCTGGATGAAAGATGTGTATTAATGTTTCATCCATCAGGATAATCCTGTGAAATAATTTCTCCCCTTCAGCAGGGGAATGTTTGAACATGTATTTGGCAATGTTGCACCTTTGTGTGCATGCTTCGAATGCTCTGGGACCCACCTTGCTGCCACCTTACTAGTCCTAGTCATCATGGAGGATACTGATAATCTTCTTACTATTGATGCCAAACTCTGTCTCCAGTTCATTCACTGTTATTTTGTGGTTATGGTTATTCTGCTCCATGTTGAACACGCTTATGTTATTAGATGTTGGTTTACATGGATGGCCTCGCTGGCCAGTTTTTATATCTCTTCACATCTTCATGCCCTTGATATTAAGAGAGAATCCACCTATACACTATCCACTCTATTCATGCTTTCTTTAGCGAAGAATTCAGTAGCACCATGCTGCTTTTTTTTCCACTTCATTTTTTAATAACTGCTAGCTCTTCAACAGTGTCTGGCCAGCTGAACTAATTTCCACCTAGTGAGGGTAGGCTGGCCAATTTGATGCAGGATGCATGCCTGTCTGTCATAACTGCATCTCCATTAGACCATCAGTACTGTCTCACCATGCCCTTCTAAATACAAGGGACACTCTGCAAGTTTCCAGATACGGACAACTGAAAACTACTGGTTGTTACTCAATCATTACACCTTTGTGTAATTTGTGATAATGCCATAGATGGCTTTTGAAGACCCAGAGTTGAACTTCTGGAGCATGAATTCACACCATTCCACCCTGGCCTCCTTTTGACTTGGAGTGAGATTATGAAGGACTCATTGCCTAGTGACCCTCCTCACACCAAGATGTCTGTGCAGGACACTATTGGTGACCCAATCCCAAGTAGTGCCTGATTATCTTCATATGTAATTCAAATATCCTTTTCAACCATCTTCCGTGCAATGGCTCCATTTTCATCTGTCATTGCAATTGATGGCCGGCCACAGCAAGGCTCATCATTCAAGAGCACCCTTCCACTCCGAAACTTTGCGAACCACTCAAAGATTGTACTATGAGATGGTGCTTCCTCTCCAAAGGCCTATTGCAAGCATTTAAGAAGGCCACATCCTGAAACTTTCAGAGCGACCCCCATATCAGATAGGAGACATCCCAGTCCACCCAACAGCATAACATGAAACACGACACCACGCAACGTAATATGAAAGACATGGAGAAATGCTGCAAAGGTCTTGATACCATTATTATTTCATCGTCATTGACTCTGGCCTAGGATAACCCTCCCAGGCAAAAAAAAATTAATACAGCAGGATAGTATCCACTTCTCTAGCTAAAAAAAAGTGCTAAAAAATATGAAAGAGCGATTCACTGGTAATATATCGGTAAGCAACACTGCAGTAATTAACGGAAAACCGTTACGGTGATATTAACACCACTCACATCTCTACTCAGAATGTGACTTTCACGTGGAAATCTTATTTGTAGATCTCTGTTTCCAACTTCAAAAGTCGCAAATATTCAACGATTTTATTCGGTTCTGCGAATCGTATTGCTCAAACAGTTCGTTTTGCTCTCCTAGAATGTGACGATGTTTTAAACGTCGAAAGCCGTGAATAATGGACGATTTCAGTCGGTCCTGAAACTCATTTCCGATTCCTTGGAAAATTCGTTTTCCACTCCTAGAATGCGACATTTACGTTAAAGAATCCGTTTGCACGACTCAGTATTTCATTTTCATATTCACGGATATTCGACGATTTCTGTCGGTTCTGCGAATCGCATCCGATTGAAGGGATCCGATTCTCAGATTGTGTGTTTTGTGCGAAAAATTGTACGGTATATCAAGGCCTCCACCATCAACTTTGAAAGTCGTGGATATTCGACGATATCTGTAGTTTCTGCGAAGCTCATCCGATGAATGTGGAAGTTCGTTTTCCGCTCGTAGAGTGCGACATTATGTGAAAGAATCCGTTTGCACGACTCAGTAATCCATTTTCATATTTTAGCGGGTGTTCGACGATTTCTGTCGGTTTTGCGAATCTCATCCAATGGCTGTGTTTGCTCGTTTTCCGCTCCTAGTATGCTACCTTTACGTGAAAGAATCCGTTCGCACGACTCAGTATTCCACTTTCAATGTCGCGTAAATTCGACGATTTTTGAAGTTTATTGGAATCTTATCCGATGGCTGTGACAAGTCGTTCTTCATTCTCAAAAGGTAAATTTTATGCGGAAAAATGTTCTTGCATGGCACCACCATTAACTTTGAAAGTCGGGAATATTTGACGATTTCTTTCGGTTCTGCGACTTCGTTCCGAATTCTTCAAGGGTTCGGTTTTTAAGCTAGAATACGACATTCATGTAAAAGTAGTTGTTTGAACGCCACCGACGCAGAAATAAAATATTCGTGACATTCAATGTTGAGGTTGGGAACCGTCAAGTTCATTTTTTCTGCATAAAATTCATAATCTGAGTGTGGAAGTACAATTGTCACAGTCATAGGACAAGATTCGTATAATCGCCTGTAATCGTCGAATATTCGCGACTTTGAAAGTGGAATTCTGAGTCGTGAATACGGATTGGTTCACGTTAAAGTCGCATTCCAGGAGTAGGTCGCGAAAAGTCACCAACAAAAAGTATTTTCCGATATTCATTGCAAACCAACCTGTAGCCTTAATTGGGAATTTTCCTTTTGACCATGTTACGCCAAGGATGAAAAAGCAGCCTAAATCCATGAATGCCGATGTCCTCCAGAATGTCGTGTCAAGAAATGGCTAGCCAAGCTGGAGCCATGAATGGGCCAAACATGCCTACCAATGCCGACGATCAGCCGACGTTGCCATGATGGGGTCATTGTTGGACCAAGATTTTTGGTAATGCAGGAATTTTTTTTTCTGAAGCCCCAAGGGGTTAATTGAGAAATGTCATCGGGAGCACTTCTGTGTGCTGGAATGGAAGGATGGAATTGTGCTTCATCGATACGGAGACCACGTAGAGAAATCTGTCGTTTAAATCACCCTCTTGATAGACCCTCTGCTATCCTCGTGCAGATCCTTCTATCTCAGAGAGGACCACACCTCGCCACATCCTCAATCACTCGAAATAAAGCGAGATAACGTGCCGTATGCAATGCCAAAGAGGGATCCAATCCCTATCTTATCGAATGAGGTGAGACGTGATTGTAAAAAATGTAGAAGTACCTTTGTAGAATAGCCTCCCGCTGTGGATATGCCCTAACATCTAGAATGTGTTCTTATGGTCGAAAGGAAAGATAGACGTATACGTGGTATGATTAAAAGGTCCCTGTCTATCTGCAAGTTGAAAAATGGACTTCAAAATCTCAGCGCGTTTTTAAACATGTAGTGATCTTACCAATTGCTCAATCTTTTAGGGCTTAAAGGGCTTAAAGGAAGAAGAGTTGATGAAAAAGTATACATTGTTAAATGGAGGACCGAAATACGTTAGACTTGGCTTCATAATCCAGTTGCAGGTGGGGGAGGACCCAATTTGAGGAATGCAGAAATGGAGACCGACTGGGAATGACAGACTGCCCGAACCTGAGTCCAGGGTGGGCAAAATGACTGTCGCCCTTGGACTAATAAACCCCGGAAAAGAAGCCTTCTCCTTACGGACACAAGATGCCTCAAAGGACCTCCAGTGTCCGTTAACCTTTTTTTTGGGGGGGGGGTTCGATTTCATTTCCAATTCTAACTGCTTGAATCCGAGTGGGAAACTACAGAACCTACATTCTTCAGCAGTGTGTAAGAATTGATTGTATTGAATGCATTTGAGTAGGAACTACAGGAACGATTGTTGAACAGGTCTCCGATTCCACTTTAAAAATGGCAATTCTCTGTTTTTACATTGATTCTCGCTAGAAATAGGGAATATGAAACAAATTGCACTTGTGAAATTTTAGGTATCCCATCAAATTGGAGATGCAGGGAAACTTGAATGTTCAAAAGGATAATTGGAAAAAAATTGGAGCCTTCTGAGCAGACCACAGCCAAGGCCCAGTTATTTTTAAATAACTCTCCCACGTCCTTCCTAGAGGGCTCGCTGTCACGCCGCATCCCTATCCCTGTAGAATAAATCCGTCGAGTAAAAACTTCCCGATCTTCGCGGGATAATGAAATCCTATCAGTATCTTTCACGTTTCTCCACAATAGGATCTTCCTGTCTTGAAAATCCCACTGTGGCATTTAGAGAGATATCTATGCATGTTGTGACCATTTATTGCATGAAATATGAAACTTGTGGCAGAACAAATGTCATATGCCAATTCAGTTTCAAATAATAAAAAGTATATAACTTTTAATATCATGCGCGAAGCGGTGGTCTCAAGCAATGATACCAAAAGGCGTCAACGCACAAATATAGCCTAAAAGAGTTCGTATGCTTATGAAAACGTTATATATGGTTTTAATGCCAAATGGCATCATTACGCAGCACAGGGTGAACTGCATTGCCAAATCACTTGAGGAGGATAACAAGGTTGTCAACACGAGCATAAATAAAAAAGCAGATATCTTGCTAATAATGCAAAATATACACAATCACTAATTATTCAGTAATCTATCCATTCATTCGATCGAAGGTCGATGCGCATTACACATTTGAGTATATATTTTCTCATGAAGGTACATGTTAATTAATCTGTGTAGTTTGTTGAACACATAATCCATCCGGTAATGGTAGGAAATGCTTCTTTCGGTCATTTAGCCGAGTTTTGGAGCTTCCTGATCAGGGAAATAGCAGGTTCCTGGCCAGGCGATGGATAAAATCTCATGCATGCCAATGTTTCTGAATTTATCCAGCTTAGCTGATGGCCACTCAAAATCCGAAATTCTTCCACAGGGTTTTTATATCATGTCTCCATGGGCCTTAGGTGTGGAATTTGTAGGTATGAACAAGAACAAAGGCAGATGTGTTTCTATTAAAAAAAAGCGAATGATCTTGAGTTTTAGGAGGTATTGCCACCAAGATGTGGTTATGATATAATTATATGGAACTAGTTGCCTGTTCTGCAATTTCAGAGATTGGGATCACTGTTAAAATGTGTTCATTAGTGTTTTGCATCATGTGTCGAATATGTGAACCGATAGGGATCCAGGTGTAATCCTAGAGAAGGATGCTGCACTTTCGCTATTCATTTTAAATTTAGACGATTACTGACTAGACTCAGAAGGTACACAGAGAGAAATGACATGATATAGTGTGTCATTTGACGTACTTATATGTGTCATCGGGGAATTCTTCATATCGGTTGTGGTAAAATGTGTCAGAAGCGTTGACACATTCCAACGCGTCTACAGATGCAGTAAGATGTGTCAAATAACACACTGGAGGAGAGAATATCCCAACGGACACGCGCAATTGTGTCCCATGACACACTACAGTGTGTGTCCATTGATTCGTCTGGATTATGACCTGGGGACACGGAATAACGTGTCATGAGGCTGGGAACATTTAAATGTGTCTACTGATGCAGTAAGATGTGCCAACTGACATGTTTTGTAGGTCAAAACTCATGACACATTATTCCATGTCACCCAGACGATCCTGGACTCACTTTTGTGCGTCATTTGACACACTGATTTCTTTCTGTGTAGAGTGCAGAGAGATCTTGGATTCTCGAATTGTTTCCAATTTGTTTAATTGCTGCTTGAACTGCTTGGGTCTCCGCGATATATGTGTATCTCACACTGCATTTACAGGATATCAATGCGAGATTAACGGGCGAAACTCATTTGAAGCAGAAAGATTAATGAAACGGACTTAAAGGAATTGCTCGGCATCACAATGGACATCCCAGGCCTGCACGTATTGCTCTTCTACCATCACCTTCCACAGGTCCTGGTGATCAGGGATGTTGTCGATGATGACGAGGAGAGTCTTCGAACGGGAGAGAACTTCCAACAGCCAATCGTCCGTTACGTTCACAGAGATGACAACTGAGGCTTCACAACCCTGGAATTCCTTTGGATGCATCACTGGAATTCTGCTCATTTTTTCCTTCAGTGCCTTCAGCAGGACTGCATCTGATACCAGTATGTGAGGCTGCTCTTCCTCTGGTGCATCTGGTCTCGCCGGCGGAAGGACGGTCTGGATGAGGGAGGACAGAAAAGCCACTTCGTTCCCACTGCACATGTTCTGGTGTCGTCCCGAGCAGTGATGCCTCACGAATTGGACGGGAGGACCAAACACGATAGCAGCGGGCAAGGAAAAGGTGGACAGACTCTTCACTCGTAATTGCAAAACAGTGGGTGCTTCGTTTCTTCGAATGTGATCAAAGAGTGCTCTGGCTGTCGGCTGGGACCGCAGTACGATGGCGGTGCAGTCCGGAGTTTCTTGCAAGGCGTTCGCCACCCTTTCGAGGGAGATGCCCGAGCCGTCTGCTGCATGGGGGTTCAAGGCAAGAACGAGTCTTATATTCTTCCCCTTTAATTCTGTACGATGGCGGTGCAGTCCGGAGTTTCTTGCAAGGCGTTCGCCACCCTTTCGAGGGAGATGCCCGAGCCGTCTGCTGCATGGGGGTTCAAGGCAAGAACGAGTCTTATATTCTTCCCCTTTAATTCGTCCATAACCATGCCGACCTGACTATCTAAATCCTTCAAGAATGGACAGTCTTCGACGATCAAAAGCAGACTGCCCTCTTTCTTCTCGTTTTCGTCTTTCACCTTGGCGATTATGTCCATTAAAGACTGAATTTTTTCGTCGGAATTACAGCAAAGGATGTGAATATTTTTCTCGGTCCCCCAGCGTCGTTCGAAGACTGCACGCGACAAAAAGCTTCCGCAATGAAGAAGGAATATTCTTTCCTTTCGTTGCATCGCTAGTTCTATCAGCGCCTCCACTTTCCTGGATTTTCCTGAGGCTGGGTAACCAAATATTGCAGTGAATTTGGAAAGAAACATCTTCTCCACATCTCTCTCGTCCTCTTCGTTACTCCCCTTATCCATATCTACGAGAGGCAAGGGTGCAGGAGGGAAGGCCTGCTCCTGGAGACCGTCAAAGGACTTAGCATCTTCCGACAAGTGTATCGTCTCCAGTCTGCGATTGAGATCTTTTTCATCAATGTTCACCGCTTGGATCTCCAAATTGAGGCTTTGCTTTACTCGAGAGAATTTTCCCGTGACCAGTTCCTCCTCCTCGACGACGAGGATCTTCTTACGTCCAGTCACCAATCGGATGTAGTTGATCCACCTCGATCCAGGGAAATCCACAACGGCGGTCACGTTTTTTGGATGATATCCCAACATTTCCTCCTGCTTAAGGACGACGACTGGAACCGAGGCCTCTGAAACAAGCTTTCTGCGGAATTCCCCTCTGGAGTCAATAAACGTAGGAAGCGAAGGGCAGAGGGAAGCGAGGGTGTTCACGAGAGCATCCTTCCTCAGCTTCACGTCGTCGACCACGACGAAAAGTGAGAGCTTCGACGATTCCAAGTGTTTCTCGTGGATGACTCGAATGGCGTAAGATGCCCTGACTGCACGGCAAGCCATTTCGTCCCTGCAGAGGCTCTGATGGCTGCAAGAGGGAATGGTGTAGACTACTGGGAAGCAATCTCCTGATTCTTCTATGTCTAATTCGAGCGTCCTCTCACGGGATGGAAAGATCCTGCGGCAATAATCCCCAATTGCCAGAAATAGCTCAGCAATGTTCCGACTATTTCTTTTTACTCTTCGGAGGACATGTATTTCGGAACGTCCAGGCTGGACATCCTGTAGACATATTTCCTTTGTGTATGACTGGTCGTTCGGCCTAAACACAAGAGTCATGGACTTGGTCGTTGAGGATTCCATGGTCCTTGCCCAATGGTTGGATAGAGCCATCGGTGTTAGAATGCCTTGGATTCCTAGTGTGATGGGGACTTCATCCACGAGGACATGTTTACCTTTCCCATGCTGTTCCAGGAAGCTTTTCAATTTCTCGAGGTCATCCTCCAGGGCCTCCTCTCTCCCATCGATCACGTGGATTCGCTCATTACCTGATGGAAAACATATCCCTAACTCACCCATCGAACAATATCAACCAGTTACGGAATATCTCGGAGCCGAAACTAATTGTCGCAGGAAAAAAAAAGCCGAAGCGACTAAGTGGAACATGGACTGACCTTGAAAGTAGCGCCGGAACTCTTCAGTCAGGTGTCCTCCGGCGATATTCATGACTAATACGTCGTCTGTCTCTGCCAATTTCAATGCTTTTTCCTTGAGTATAAGTGTTTTGCCAGTCCCAGGACCACCGCAGATGAAAGTGAATCTTGACTGGCTCATCACTAGTTCCTTCTGTTTGGGAGTGAGGACCGGCAGTATCTTCTTCATTTGGTCATCGCTCCTGTTGAACATCTCATTGATGCTGCGGGGGAGCTCCACAGTTGAGGCTGCACTGGCGTACAAGTCGAAGACATATTTGAAAGTGTTCATTGTGGGCGATTCAAGATCGGGGTCCCATGTCTTTTCCAACGCGATTCCGTTTCTGTCCAAAAAGGTTCTGAATGCCCTTGGGTTCTCCAGGTCGTCCGAGGTGAGGACTCGTGCCGTACATGTTCTACACTTTATCAGGTTCTTCAAATAATGTTTGGAAATCATCGGAAGAGCGGCAAAACCTGCCAGCTTCACGTTGGTAGTCAAATATTCTCCACATACAGTACGAAATATATTCATGTCTAGCCTTATTTCCTTCGTGGTGTTGCCAAGAGCCTTCAAAACCGTCTTGGGATTTGCCTCCGATGTGGTGGAAGTGACCTCAAAGAAAATCCCCAATATGTCTTGGCCGGACACTGCAAGGCCAAAGACGTCGTGATCGCTTAGTTTCACACCTTTGGGGACGTCGAACTTCCTTATGAATTCCTCTTTCTCATTTTTCTTGACACTCCTGAGGAAAGTTTTCTCGATATTATAGCCAGCCACAGTAAAAGACGGGACGTCCTTCAACTCGGCCTTGAGGCGATGGAACACGATGGCCTCCGAGAGCTGGCTCAACATCTTCAAGTCTTCCTCTCCGTTGGAGATTTTCAATAGCTCCTTGGAGTCCTGCATCAGGTCCTTGAATGCCTTATTGCTCAAAGCATATCCCTCGGGAAGGGAATAAGCCTTTTTGTAGGGTAGTCCTATCAAAACAACATGTATAAGCGAAAAACGGAGGAGGGTTCAGGCAAATGGACTACACGGTTGCACATAAAAGTTTATCAAAGGGTACAGTTTCAAAGGATAAGAAAGTATCGAGACGTATCGTCCCAAGTAAGAAAATTCTCGAAATTGCTCGCATTTTGCTTCAGGTTCCTAATAAATAATAATAATAATAATAAAACTATTACAATATACCCTCATATTTACGTGCTACTTCATCAAGAAACTCATCCAATTATTTGGGGGGGATACTCGAATTTTCAGCTTCCACATGTTGGCGAAGTGAACAAATGAAAATCTAATTTTGTCTATGCAGAATTATAAATTGAAATAACGGAAGTGCCGAAATGCATGCATGTCAGAAGAATCGAGGCTTAAAAAGAGCAGTATCGTGGTAAAAGAAGACATTATTATCGATTTACATAATTCCATTCATTTGTCGAGGGAGATGCCTGAATGCTCGAAGTTCATTTATCATTTTTTATCGATACGCATGTGATAGCATCATATTTTAGGCGTGTTGCCCATTTTGCGAGTGCCAAATTGCATGGCGGGAGATTAGTTTATAATCCATTTCCTGATTGAGATATGGAGTTATTCACGTTCTTTTTGTAAATTCAAGACCGAAACTAGGAGATAAATATATCATATTAGAATGGTTTCTTGGATGCAATCCATCATGATCTTATCTTATCTCGGGAACTGTCGCAAAAGATGCTAACCCCCCGAAAGTTTCTTTCCTTCCTTCCTCAGGAGTTTTTACTGGTGAATTTTATTCCCTTGCAAAATGGAGGTAATGTCCATTCAAGCCTTTTCATCCTACGTCATTTTGTGCATAAATGTAAAAATATGTTTATTGCATGCATTAGTCTAGGCACTTCACTGAAAATGTCACTCATGCGATGGCGGCATCCCTCAGCATGGTAGCTCTTTGAAGAGAAGTTGCACCTGACGTCATTCCAGACTTGCATTATAACGTATCGACAGCTACCTAAGCATGCAGCATCTACGACTCACCCCTTCAGGGCCTGGGTGACCCTTTGAGAGATTCTCCGCCATCTCTGGAATAGGAATATCCAGGCGTCGCTGTCAGAAGTGTCAGGCCGCAAATCCTGGATTCAAAAAAGGACACACGAAGTTCTGGTTACATTTCCTGCCAAGCATTACAAGCGGATATCACTCAACATATTAATGGATAATTTCAATGGTTGATTATGATGACCGAGCTTCGTTCTGCCGATTCTACTCTCTCGTATAGGTATCCAGTCGATAAGCCGGAAAATCATAGCGATTCAAGTAAAAGTTTCTCATGGACCTGAAACGAAACTTTTTTTCCGACCGCACGATAGCGCCTGAAAGAATTCGAATTTGGCCCGCTCCAAATCCATTGTCACGTTTATTGAATTACGTTCAACGTAATCCCCTTGTGCCCAATGTTCAATTCAACTCAACTCCTTCTTGGTATGCTTTTTTGACGATGAGTATACATAATCAGAGCGAGTCAAGAGAGAAAAGATCTGCCCAACGTTATTGAGCTTCAGTACTCAGCTATGAGAAAGAACAATGGTCTATGGTCTTGGTCTGAACCTGCCCCCTACTCCGGATTCTCATTCCAATGCCTCCATTATCTCTCTGCATTTTCAACTTCTCCTTTGTGTTCCTTGAAGTAACCATGCGCATTGTTGTTTTTTTCGTTCCCCTTGGCCATGGTTTGGGGTTTCATCGACAAAAATGGCTTGGGAATCAATAAATTAACTGGATGTTATTCAACTAAACATAGATTCAAAGAGATTTTGCGTACTTAAGCAATAATCATTGTTTGGCAGTGACTGGAAAAAAGAGCCCACATCGTTTCCATGATACACAATATAGGAAACCTGATGTGGGCTCTTGCCTCTATTTGCCGTACTCCTAACAAGGATATTTCAAAATTTTGAATGAGTGCACATGTTCGCTTATAAAATAACGTATTAAATATTCTTACTAGTTAAATTTTGTCTGCTAATGTTTACATGGGGTAAGCAGCAATTTCTTGATATTTCCAACCGTGACAGGTTCCAGCCCACATCGTGAAATCACCTTTTAATACTGCTAACTCTTTCTCTCCCTCTCATTTATCGTTCTCTTTTCATCTCCCTCTTTGCCTCATATGCATGACAATATGACATGATAGTGAACAATGGAAAGCGACTGGACATAATAACCTTATGTATGGCTGGCGCGTAATTGTCTCTGGCGTAACAATGCGGTTTGCCTGTCCAATTCGTGGGGCATCTGGAGGTCACAGGCGCTGTTACCGAACTTATGAACCTATTCATGCACACAGGCTTGTGACTTTTCTCTATACACATTCTTCATCCTATGATGTACAAGTATTTCAGCTGGTTCAACTCCCTCTGCGGTAAAAAAAAAATAAATTGCCACAGTTCCCATCTCTTCTCTGGTGCAAGTTTCCTGATGCGCCACCATTTTTAATTATTTGGGAGACTCCTAGTACCGGTTGAAAAACAAATGGCAGCATTCAGAGAGGTGCCAACTAAACCAAATTAATATATTAGTACCACTGTCAGAGGCAAAACTCATTTGTATTGGTAACATTATACTTTTATTTTTTTTTTTATTTGAGCAGCCCTCGTAGATAACTCCTTCGAGAATCTTTCAAATATAGAGTGCCTCTTTCCTGTGTCAAGGGCGTCTACAGCAACTCAAGCTCCCACCATGCTACGCTTGTTCTGACTACTACACTCTTAGAAAAAAGGGAACGACTTATCTCGAAAATAAAAGAGTAAAACCACTAACTCCCGTTTTCCTCTCTTTTTACTCGGTGAGTGCAACAAATTCACTGACTCCTTGAGGAAGAAAATTATGCTACTCTGACGAGAGGAAAAAGGTTTACTTTCGAGTAAATGAGGAATGTAATAAAAATAAGCTGGGTTATATAGTCCCGTCACTTTCTGTCTCATTTTGGGATCTCATGGCCAATGAAACATTGCAGAGGTGTTGCTCCACTATAGGGTAAAGCATGGATAAGGGTTGGAGACTGAAGTGTGCGTGGTGCGCGCGTATGGTCCATATGTGATTTTGCCATTGTTAAGAGGCATGAATGAATGTCTCGAGTTCGGTGGTGTAATGGTAGCAGCACACCTGATCGGCAGTCAGGAGGCCCGGATTCAATACCCGGCCGTCCCCTGGCTCTCTTTCGTCCTCTCTCGTCCATTCAACCTCCCTACCTTCAGTTCGTCACATCACACATATGCATACAATTAAACTTGAATGAGGAGGAGGAGGTCCGCAATACGAATGAAACCCAGCCAAGGCCTACGGCTGGCTCGCAGACATTATTGAGAACTAGAGAACCATAGCTATGGTCGCGCCTTCAGCGCTCCATTGTCCAGGTTAGTGATTCATTCTTTTTTTTAAAGTGGCAAAAACGTATAAAGAGTATGTGCCTGTCGAAATGTGTGCCAAGAAAGAACGAACCAATATTTCCATTGAAATAATTACACCAATTATTTATTGTGTGTCTGACTTCAAATCTCTTTATAATCTGTCCTGAGGGGTCTTATTTGAAAAATAAGATGTACACGTAGATAGCGAACAGGTATTTCAGCTGCTAGTTTTAACTTTCTTTAGTTCTCTTCATTGAATCAGAAAAGTTTCTTGGAAATGTATCTTTTGAAAAAAATATGCCCTCAGGGGTTTTACCTAAAATATAACATTTTTACTGAAATCAGTTCTCAGAGAAAAATGTGTATGCCAAGTTTCCTCCTTATCCGTTAGCTCTTTTTGCTGTTGGGTAATTCCAGGACAAATCAACCCAGTGGTAACACCCGACCCTCTCTGATTTTCATTAAATTTTTTATTTGACCTCGTTATTTGACGAAACTCGGAAGCACTAAATTTCAGCGTTATCGCATGGCTGGATCAAGAGCTTCAGGGTGCTCAAAATTTGGGGATAACATCCTACCTCCGATTTTCAATGTCCTGTAACTCAAGAACGATTCATGCTACGTCCTTGCTCAAGGTTAATTCACTCGGAACAACGTCAGGATGTCAAAAAGAGGCACACACGATCACTCTGGAAAAATAAATCAAAGTTTTATATCGACAAAAATTTTGACCTTTGAACTTGGGATGAGTCCCCAAATTTAAAATTCTGGAAAAAATTCAGTGAAATGGTCCATGTCTTTGGTAGCGATAGGAAAAATTCCAAAATAGAAATATTTTTTGTATTTGAGAAAACAATTTTTGAATCAGCCCATCCCAACAACATATGTTGTATGGTTGCTATTCCACGATGCAACACAATAAGTAAGACCCTTTTTCTCCTCGATTTCGGCGATATTGTGTCATTTGGGTCTATTCGAATTATCAGTTCTTCCATGAAATATCAGAATCCGAAATGTTTATATTTTCCGCCTCTTGGTACATAAAATGTGAATTTTGAAGGTTTAGGCCTTCAGTAACTCGTGACCCATAAGGCAAATTCCATAACTATTCGTGACCATGTCACATTTCAGCTTTCCATGTTTATCCGTTTGACTGAAGCAAGAAAATATTTGCAAACATCTCCCAATGAAATTTGTGCCCCTAGGGCATTTGCTCCAAAGTCGGAATTTTTTTTTAACTCAGCAGTCCAATAGGTACTTATATATCACGTTTCACCTTTTTATCTCTGGCCAATTCGGTAGTACTATAAAATATTTAAAAACGTCACCCCCAAAAGTGTGCACCCATGGCATGCATCTGAAATGTTAAAATTTTCTTCAACTTTGTGTCTCAGTGGGTACGTCCATGCCAAGTTTCAGCTTTCCAAGTCTCTCCATTTGACTGAAGCAAATATAAATCATTGAAAACATCCCCCCCCCAATATAGGTGTACACAGGGCATGTGCCACCAAAGTCGGATTTTTACTGACATCTACATCCAAAAAAGTACAAGTGTTCCAAGTTTCAGATTTCTAACTTCTCTAGAA